TCGACCATGATTATGCAGTACTTTCAACATTGCAAAGAAGAATCATTTGAACCGGCTAGCCGCTCAACCCTTTTTCGCATTCTTGAAGTGAGACAGGCTTCACAGCAGAAGTCTCTCAGTGGTCTGGACAACATTGCAGCAGAAGGGGTCGCATCTTTTGAGCCGCTATTGGGTATTCTAGAAGAGCTGAATCAGGCTGGTGCCGATAAAAGAAGAGTTACAGAACTGGCAAAGAGATTGAACGATGGCAAAAGATACCTGAAGACGAAGTTTAAAGTGAACTGTTCAGCAGAGGAGAGTGAGTGCCAGACCACTGCAGAAGATTTGCGTTAAGCGATCCAGTTTATCTATGCTTCAACCATCAGTCCTCACACACACAATATGGTGTGTGAACAATGCGAACAATTGAAGGCAACGTTGGACGAGATGGAAGAAAGTATAAAGAAACACTCCAGCCATCTTTCCAGCCAAGAACAAAAGCATGTTCTTCTTTTCGATTTTGAAAGATCTAAGAATGGCATTTTTCTTCGAAAATCTCATGCCTTACGTTCTGTTAACCAAAAATCTGCTAAACAAGAAGCCCTCCAATCAGTCCTTGTTGTTAATGACTGGGCCATGAAATTTCTTCAAATGAAATACAGAGAAAAGCAAAGCGAATGGTTTGCTAAAAGAGGCCTTAGCTGGCATATAAGCAGTGTGATCTCAAAAGACCAAGAAACTCAGAAAGCTAAGGACCTGTCGTACGCCCATTTATTAGATTCGTGTTGTCAAGATTGGTGTGCGGTTGTATCTATTCTAGAAAACCTTTTTCAAAACATCAAAGTAAATTTTCCAAATGTTAAGCAGGCATTTCTACGTTCTGACGAGGCTGGCTGCTACCACTGCAATCAGCAGCAGTCAAAGATATTGGAGATCGAGTGCGAATTACAGTTGCACGTTATGATTTTTCAGAACCCCAGCAACGAAAGCTTGTTTGTGACAGGGTGCTTTGTCCCATGAAAGCAGCAAGAAGAAAGCACTGGGCGGAAGGCCATGACATCATGAACGTAGGAACAATGCAAGAGGCGCTTAAGGAACGGCCTGTCAAAGGAACAACAGCCGCTGTAGCCATTTTGGATGAGTCATCCAAAATTCTTGAGGTTCAGAAGATAAAACAATTTAGTGAGTTCTACAACTTTAGATACGAAGAGAGTGGGATAAGAGTGTGTAAAGCTTACGCTGTTGGGGTCGGTAGGCTTATCCCTTGGCAATCTTTGTACATATGGCACCAGGGTTGCACAAATATATCATTAATGGAGGGAAAAGGATTCTTCACCAACACAGAAATAAGAGACCTTCATCGCCCAAGAAAGTGTCAAACAAGTAAAGACGACGTTGAAATTGACAATCAGCCATCGATGTTTGTGTGCCCTGAAGAAGGCTGTAATTGCACTCTTCACTCTTTCTCCCAACTTGAATTGCATATAGACGTAGGAATACATGATACTAGGAAGTCGGGAAGTCTTTATGATAAAGTGCGGAAAAACTGGGCTGAAAATTTTTCTTCAATTGAGAACCAGAAGTTAACAAGCAACAAATCTTCCACTGGTCTGACTGTTAACAGCACAAATTCTCGTCTAAGTATCGGATGGGCTCTTAAAAAAGGTAGAACCGGCGGAGTTCGTTTTTCTGAGAACGTGAGACGGTACCTTACAACAAGGTTTGAAATGGGAGAAAGAACGGGCAAAAAACCCAATTTAGAAGAGATCGAACGTCAAATGCGCAATGCCAGAAATGAACGGAATGAAAGATTGTTTCAAAGAGAGGAGTGGCTCACCAAGACCCAAATAATGTTTTTGTTTTTGTTTTTTTTCACGCCTCGCTTCACGGCAGAGAACGTGAGGTCAGGATGCAATATCAAAGGGACAGGAATTTGATATTACAGCAGATGAGAATAACGACATCGACGCCCTCATTGGAGACTCTGATCGCAACAATTTGCTTGACGATATTCAAAGCAGACTTGGACTAGAGCATCCGATAGTATATGACACATATGATCTTTGCGCCTATCACAAGGAAGGAAAGCTACAGGCCTTCAATGTTGCAATGCTCAAGACTATTCTTCGCCACTTTGAAGTACCTTTCCGAGCAAAAGATAGCTTAGAAAGACAGACCTTATTAGGTTGTTAACGGAGGGTATCCCAGAATGCAACTGCTGAAAAGAGTCGACTGTCCCTTTTATCAAACAAAAGGGACAACAATATTTTTTCTTGTAACTGAATCAATTAAGCTTTTATTGTGCAAGTCTTAGTTAATTTTTTTTCGAAAATTCTTTGGCAGGTTGAGTTTTTTTGCATTTGTTTTGTGACTTTTACGCGATGACATGAAACGGTGACGCTTAATTCGATAATATATTTAAATAATCTAATTGTTTTCTTATAAATCCGCCAATCGAACACTGTCAAGCTCACTTCACTCACTGTTCATCACGAAATAACCAAAGTTCGATATATCAAAATTCCAACTTGAATTCAAGGCTCCCTCTCTAACTGTCCAGACTGTCTCGGAATTCCCAGAAGAGACTAAAGCACAAAGAATAACAAACCAAATACAGACTGAAATATGACCATAAAGAGTCATGCTAGAATTTTCATATATCGAACCTAAGCTACTGACAACGTGTAGCACGGCCTATCATATTTGCGATTAGTGGGTGGTTGATTCATCACGCCTTAATAATGTACTATGACCTACCTTATTATAGGAAATTAACGCTCCATGAAATTAACGCGAATCGTTGAAATTCGCGTTAATTTAAGTCGCGTTAATTTTGTTGAGCGTTAATTTCCGCGACGTTAATTAAGTGCAACGCTAATTTCCGCGCTCTTAATTTCCAGTATTTTAACCCCAATTTTGGAACCTGTCTAGACATTCTTGACTCCTCAAAAACATTACCTACAAGCTTTTTTCTTTCCATTAGTTACCCTTTATTTTTCATCTTTCACCAAATTAAAAGCTAAGGGGAAGGTTCACAATATTTGTTAACTTTGTGTCCAGTTGTCACCACCAACCGTTTCTTAATCGCGTTAATTTCCTTTATGATAAGATTCTACCTCCTCTTTCGCGTTAATTTTCTTTATTCAAAAGTTGTTTTCCATTAAATTCGCGTTAATTTAAGCCGCGTTAATTTCCAATGCCTTAATTTCATGGAGCGTTAATTTCCTATAATAACGTACTTACTAAAGTTGCTTAAGTTCAGGTATCTAGATATTGACTGTACACATTTCTTCGTTTTCAAGCGAAAATAGCGATCAGCTTAGTCGTGATGGGAATTCATAAACACGTAATTAAGATGTGGAGTAGACGAGAATAGACACCCTATTCTGTTTTTTGATTTCTCGGTTTTTAGGGTACAATCCTCATTTTCACAATTTATCTTTAAGGATTACCGTGTACGCTCGTCCCATACAGCGTAAAGGTCAATTCGTGAAGGACTTGCCCGCTGTAAAATGTAAATACTTAATTTTATCTGTAAAAAAAAAATGTTCCCTAAAAACGCAACTGTTGTATGTCGAATAAAGAACGTACGGAAGGGCGAGACTAACAAAGGTTAGTGGCAAAGGTAAGTAAATTTAATGGTGTATACTTCCGTTCAGTTTTCCTGTAAATAAAGTAGAAAAAAAGTTGCCTAATGGCATTTTTTATTATTTTTAAGCTTAATAATATCAATAATTATAACAAAATATTGCAACAAGCAAATGCGATGACTGACTTTCTGGTCCTTTTCTAAGTCTCGCCCTGTGACTATGCTTCGAATGAACCCACCAAATCGTGTCACATAACGGTAAGGTAGCAATAAAACGATTTAATTAGTAAATTAAAATTTAAAAAGGTTTGGCTGCTGAACTTTTAGGAATATATTTCTGAAGATATATTTATTGAAAAAGGAAGAAGAGGAAGAAAAATAATTTTTTTTCGGTTAAAAAAACATATTTTATCTCCGAGCGGCAACTATTTGGAGAAATTTACTGTCAAAACAGCCGGTGTCACGCAAGGCGAATTCTGCATCAATATCCAAGTTTGATTCGAAACCTTCAAGTCTGAATCGCGTTGTGTCACAAGTTTTATTGCATAAATTGATAGAATACCTCTTTATCTTTAACCAAAAGATACCTAGGTTAGGTGCCACTTTTAAGAATTTTATGAAGTTCCTGAGGCATATTTTGGTGCAGTTTTCTTACTAATAATTGAATTACGAGAATAAAGATAACCTGCTTTTGCTGATTACAGGGAGATACGACTAAATCGTATTGAAACAGTAAGTAGAAACAATATACTTCCAAATGAGCGCAAATGGTCTAGGTTTTAACGGCCCGTAGTAGCTTTTAACGATCGTTACTGAAAAGCTGAATAAAAGCGTCTAAAATTTGCATATTTTAGCCGGTAACGATCAGCATTTCAGAGATGAAATGCTGAGAATGGCAGTAAAATAAACTATTTCGTCATTCTAACTGCAATTTAGTTATAAGGATGGATAGTGGTATTGATGATATAAATATAAGGCAAAAGTGTTTTCGAGTCTGAAATCGAGTGGAACGCTTTTAGGGACATTGCCTCTTAATTGTGGACGTAACCACTCAAACTGTTCGGTAATCAAACTGTATCGAACTCATCGAACCGGTCAGTATAAAACACGAACTGCAGACTGCGGACCACGGACTGTGGACTGTTTATAAAACACGGACGAGGTATAAAAAGCAGGCTAGAAACTACGGAGTGAGTATAAAACACGGACTACGGACTGTGTATATAAAAACAGCTTTTAAGTTCGCCAATAGTTGCAGTCGAAGTAGGTGAAGCAACAACTGAAAAGGCCCGTCACCGGCGGGGAGAATTTAAAAAAAAAAGGCCCTTTAACATCTTGTCTATTTGCTTATCAAGTGCCCCGCCCCGCCCCCCGCCTCAAAATTTGCAAAGACGTCTTTTTTAAAATTTCAAAATAGGTGACAGTGCACTCTTTAGTCAAAAAACTTACCATAAGGACATGACCCTGCTGTCAAGGAGAAGTCGTCAATTGCTATGTCACCAGTGTAACTGCTTCCCACTACGCCTTCAAATGTTACCTGTCAAAGGTGCAATCAGTCCGGAAGAGTCGCTGTTGTTATTAATGTCTTGAAATTAATGAAAAATTATCTTCGAATTTGTCAAAAAACTACAAACTTAACAATAGAAATAGGGAAATGTCGGCTAATAGCAAAACAGATCCTCTTGGAAACACCAAGCGCATCATATTTTGCACTACATTTACGGACTTACTTGCACCACTATGAGTAAGAAAGAATAATCTTGCTATGACTAAATAATGTTACCAAATGGTACATCACTTATATTTCATGTGTGCTTAATTTATAATTAATGGTAAAGATGAAGTATTATAACGGATGCAGTATTGTCGACTTTTTTAGTTTTTCATTACAGACCGAAGTACAAAAACTTATGGCTAAAGTAAGATTCGGAGAACATAGACCCGAGAACCGAAAGACGTCTTCTGGAAGGTGGTCCTGCGTACCCTTCAGACCAGAAAAGTCTTGTTATTGAAGGTGCTTTCAGTAAAACTGAAATTACCACCACTTAAGGATCGCAGATAGGAATCTACGTAGTTTATGTAAATGTAACTAAATAATAGCGAATGATGGCCAGGATTGGTGAAAACTATCAGTTGTAAAAAATTCCCGGACCCGCTGCTGTACTTTAATGGCAATTAAATTAACAAAAAAAGTGAGCTATTGGTGGCTTATGGTTCTCAACGCGGTTGGCTTCCCCAATTACTGCTCTCGGAGAACAGCGTTTTACCACCATTGATGGGGTCATTAAAGTTTAAATTCTAATTGTAGTTTCAATATTATCATTATCCTAATTTATTGTTAAGCAATAAGTTGATAAAAATAAAGATTCAGTTGTTGTTATTGTTGTTGTTGTTAGAAGAGACACAAAAATAACGCATGGCTTACCCTATGCAATCCCTCGATAGCTGATACATTTATGCTGGCTTTACGCCACAAACCTCCTTTATAACCACGTGCAGAGAACACTAAGTTCCCACTTACGGTGACATTCAGGCTTCCAGTAGTTGCACCAGACATATGGTAATAGAACTGAAGGCACATATTCCCAAAGAATTCCAGTGGAGGACTGTACAATTTTGCGTTATCACCTGGTTGTCTTGGACTGGATGCTTCTATATACATGTAATAACCTTATAGGGATGAAGATGGTTAGAGAGTAGCAACTTAGTCTTTTCGGTAGAGGACGGTCCAATTTTGTCATATTATTCACAGCTCTCTCCTGTGGACTAAATATTTCTAAAAAATGCACATGTAATAACCTACAAAGAGGAAAAGATGTAAGGAAGGCAACAAGAAAAAAAATTGACCAGAAGGCACTGAAAAAGTATCCAGTTGACTTAAAACAGTATTCTAACTGTTACAACAGTACCGTTACGTTAGTCCAGCTTAAATGACGTAGAATGATCATCTGAAGTACCTATTAGTAAGTTTCCAAGTTTCCTTTTATTCGTTTTATTTTTTTCTTTGAAGACAGACGTATTATTCATGGTAGAATCAGAGAGCAAATGACGACAAAGCCCACGATGTAAAGAGTAACTGCATTGTTGTAGTTGCACCGATTCCGAGGTAGTCGAAATTAAATTAGATACTCTCGCCTACATTTGATACACCTGTGCAACGTACAAGCAACAAAAAAAGAAACAAAAACAAGCAGTTTAATCTAAGAAACAACAACAACAACAACAATGATAGAAAAGAGTGACATGTAATTAAATTTGCAAGACTAAAACTAGTGATATTTTCATGCAAAAAATGAAGTAGAAATGCCGACCAACTGACTGTTAAATTTGATATACGTTATTCCAGTTCTCGTTGCTAATAGTCGGACTGGCTAGATGTACTGATGAATTAGCTAAGAGCTCACCGGTCAAGTTTCCAGTGGTGTGATCAAAGGAAGGTCCTGTAATGTAAGAAGGTGTGCGTCCCTTGTGTCGAATCCAGTCAAACTTGTCATAAATGCCTTGCACGAAACCGCACATTGAAACATCAAAGTTGCATATTGTTTCAAAGTTGCCTATTTTTTGTAAGTTAAACAAAACAAATAAATTCTTATATTAAAAATTCAGCCTTTTTTTTCCTGGGGTCAAAGATCACCTCAAGGGCATGATACGATCCTAGAAAGTACAATTACACAGGCTGACCACGAGTTAGTTAAAAGCGGTGAGGCTTAACCCTAATTAACACCTACGTGTAAATGCAAGCGTAATAAGGGAACATGCTCTCCAAGTAATATTGGAATTCAGGTCTTCTAAATTGACTAGAAATGCATCCAAGAATGGCTCGACTGCTATATTTACTAGGAGAAGAGGCGCATCGTTTCCAAAAGATCTGGTTGAAGGGCTTCATAGCCCGTTGCTTATTTAATAAGTGCGGGCTTTATCTATTTATTTCTTGCTTCCTGTAGACTGCAAAACAGTCGGTTTTTTTCTCAAAATCAGCAAAGAAATTGGTAAAGCGTGGCGTAAGAGTCTTACGCGCGCGAAGCGTGCGAGCCTTACACGCCCATAGGGCGCGTTTGGCGAGAGAGAAAAAACCGACTGTCCTTTTTCCATACAATGAATTCGCTCCGACCAGTGGGTTCAAAAATGTCGTCGAGCTGTCAAAAATCTGTTCCCAACTCCGCCCTCTTTGTGAATTTGATACACTCGGTGATTGATTTCGAGGGAGAATAGCGCGTGTTATTGTCTGCATTTGGCTTCGAATCTTGACGCTGTAATCCAGTAATTCTAAAGCAGTTTTTAGCGTTGCTTCTCTGTGGAATGTAGTGTATATAGTGAAATGTAGTATAGGTAGTGGAGGATCAAAAATGAGTGGAAGTGGCAGTACGACAACAAAGCCTGTGGCTGCTCCTCGAACAAGGAGAAAGCCGAAAGAGCCGAGGGCTTTAGTCCAGTCAATCTAGGCATTTTCGAGGCTCAGCATCAAACTAATTGCAACAGAATTGTTTTCAACGCCATTTAAGTAAGGGTGGCCTATCTAGCAAAATACTAAAAATCCGCCAAAATCCGTTCGGTGGAACATGCAAAATTAAGCGTTAAACATTTTGAGCTTTTAACACAGGGCACCCACTTTAGTTAAAATTCTACGTTAAACAAAAAAATGCACAAAATGTGTTTTTTACTTTTATGGAAAAGTGAAAGAAGAAAGAGTAACTACTACCTAGTTTTCGCTGATAAAAACAAAGTGTTTCTTTTTTTTTCAAAGGGATAATAAATGTTAACCACAGTTGGCTTTTGCACAGGAAGCCCATGTTCCACTCAAGAAACCCCAAAACAACAGGAGGTTTTCAGAGTAATAGAGTGAACTGTTCGCTGTAAAACTACAACAAATTTAGTCGTAGGGCTTTAAAGCTGAAAAATGAAAGCCGTTACTTAATCGTTAGCTTTTAAAATATATCCTTTTTAATCAGATTTCTGTTAGCCACAAGGGTAGGAAAAATATATATCAGAGCTGGATTTTTGAATAACGTTACAACCAAAATAAAGAAGTCAGCATAAAAACTAAGAGCGCAGTCATTTGCCTTTTTCATTCTCCTCCTTTCTTTCTCCTCGCTCTTTCTATTTTCCCTTTTCTCGATTTTTTTCTAGGAGGATTTCGGGCTCGACGTTTGAGGGTCATTCTTGGCATGAAAATTAGATGATGACATTTTGTTACTAAATCCTGACCTTAGGAGGTTTTCTTTTAAGGTTATATATCTAGCTAAGGCGTTTCATTGACCACTGGATGAATTAATTTAATTCGCTCGTAGTTTTAGGAATGAAATGGCTTGCACAATACAACCCTTACTTAAATTCAATAATCTAGAAGAGCGCAGCATTGGAGCACTAAATGCTAAGTGTTGAAGTGGGAGAAAAGTTAGGTTACCTCTATCCTCCTTAGTTGCTGGGAATACACCACTGGTTTCTTTCATGTTCTTTGCCAGAAATTTTGTAGCATAGGCTCGCTGGACCAAACCTTGCGGCCAGAATACGAGTGACAGTAATAATGATTGGCATTACGAACAGAAAAACGAGAATTTGCCACAGTCGGAAAGTGGATCTACTGTTCAAAAGGTTCTTAACACTATGCTTCTTGGTTCAGTCCGAATTCGTAGCAGCTGGTTAGAGCTTTTGCATATCGAACTGCATCATAACAGTAGACATGGCGCCTAGTAAGAGAAGTGATGAACCACTTGACTCCGTAAGCCACAAAATGCTTCACAGCTCCCTTCAGATGATCATACTTTTTATCCAGTTTTTAAAAGATAAAAAAAATATATTTTGCCGAACTTTAATCGGTCTAAGGATATTTACGTCATCTGTCGATAACTTCCTTTAGCTACGGATGGCTGCAGATTAAGCAGATACAGTCTAACCTCTCCTTACGGACACCTCTATAATACGGACAGTTCGTTTGGTTCCAGAAAAGCCAAAATCATACATTTCCTATCTCCATAATACGGACACCTCTGTAAAGTGGACACTTGGTTCTGGCCCTTTAGTATCCGTATTAAAAAGGTTTGACTTTAGTGTAAATGTAATATAAGTACATTATTTTTGTAAATGTAATATAACTATATTATTTTGAAGTTCGAACTTTCATAAATGTTATTTCTGACGAATGAGCCCGCGAAGAAGGCAGAAATAAATATTTTGACGGCACGAGATACAACAGGGCCTGGGTACTAGGCCGGGTGCACCATGGGTAGCCATATCGGGGGTATATAAGGCTGCGTATATCACGTGTTCGTCATCTAGGCTTACGAACCAACCTCTCCTTGGTTTTTCTTAAATTTTTGTTTTATTTATTTTAGGAGCAACATATTCTCGATTACATTACATTATAAAGTCCCGTAGGAAGGGCTTTGAGCTTGAGCCTTGGTTCCTACCCAGATTTCCTGCCCGCATTTTTTCCCTTCGGGGTTTTTTTGGGCAGGTTTTTTCTGGCCTCCGTCTGACCGCATTTACTTCAGTTTGTAAGCGGTAGCTCAGCTCTGCTAGTTTTCAGCCTTTTTCCCGTTTCTTATTTTATGTACTTGTACACTAGTTATCTCAGTTTTGCACCTGCTCCTTTACTTGATATATTTAGTCTCCATGTATGCTTAGGTCAGCTGTCCCGGAACCGCTCTTTAGGAGGCGACGTAAGTCTCGTTTGACGCAGTTAGGTTGGAGGCAATGTTACAGACCTCTAGCCAGGGTCGTTATTCATTGTTTACCCTCAATGTCCCGTCCTAGCCTTTTATGGCAGTCTTACTGGTTATTGGGCTACGTGCCTTGTTGGGTACATTAGTGGAGATAATTCCCAGTTTTCCTGGCACTCAGCCTCTGTGCTCCTGAAGTGTTCCCGGTCCCAGTTATACGTTGATCACAGTTTTATTAAATTTCCCCGGCCTAGCTAGCACTAAGCCTGCGTGCTTATTTGGGGGATTCAGGTCGAGATCGACCAGTTGTAGCAGTTTTTTCTTTTTGCTTAGCCTCTGTGCTCCTACCGTGTTCCTCGTGCCAGTTATGCGTTGTCTGAGTTTTATTAATTAGTTTCTCCAGCCTAATTGGCAGCCTAACTGGCACTAAGCCTGTGTGCTTATTTGGGGGATTCAGGTCGAGATCGACCAGTTGTAGCAGTTTTTTCTTTTTGCTTAGCCTCTGTGCTCCTACCGTGTTCCTCGTGCCAGTTATGCGTTGTCTGAGTTTTATTAATTAGTTTCCCAGCCTAACTGGCAGCCTAACTGGCACTAAGCCTGTGTGCTTATTTGGGGGATTCAGGTCGAGATCGACCAGTTGTGAGGAGTTTTTTCTTTTTGTTTAGCCTCTGTGCTACTACCGTGTTCCGTGTGCCAGTTATGCGTTGTCTGAGTTTTATTAATTAGTCTCCCCAGAATGACTGGCAGCCTACCTGGCACTAAGCCTGCCTGCTTAAATGGGAGATTCAGGTCAAGAACGACCATTTGTCGCACGAGTTTTATCTTTTTGTGAAAGCTAGTTTACAAGTGTTGTACATTAGGTATTCACCAGTATTCACCTATTATTGTATTTACATAAATACTTTGTAGGGTTGGTTCTCGCCAAGCCGTCCCAAAATAAACTTATTTGCCATTACGTTTTGTCTGTTGATGTTGTGTAGTGGAGTCAAAATCATCAGTTTCTAATTATAGTCTCTGATTCTCCATTTTCGTGGTTCTTTAATCAAAGAGCACGATTAGGTTAGTCAAGACTGAATTATTCTAGCATCTCACTCTGTATAAAATTGTAGAATGTTACAATCGATGATAAGGAATCATGAGCGGCCCTCCATAGCATCGCGCAATGTGCCATCCAGGGTATGTTTTCCTTCAGTTTCGCTAGATCTATCAGAAAACCTCTGCCCGTTGTTGACATGTTTTTAAGAGGGCCTGAATTGGGGGGGGGTCCACCTGTCGGTTGTCGGTTAAAATTCAGTTACTTTGTCGGTAGTTGGTTAACATTTTCGATATATGTCGGTTGTCGGTAAATCTCAGTTAATAGCGGAGCCTCCGCGCGCGAGCGTGGAGCTTCATACCTAAGAGAAAATGGAAAACTGTCGATGCGAGAAATTTGGTTATGACGTCACGGTACGTCCCTCCGTACGTCCGTGCGTTCTTTCCTGGTAGGGGTAAGTAGAAACGAATTCATCCCCTCTCCCCTAGAGAGTTTTGTTTCCTATTGTTACAAACGGCTTTAGAAATGATTCATTGCCCAGAATGCTATCGTCTTTTACGACATGTACTTACAGTGCCCAGTTTTTTAATGCGCGGCATAATAATTGAATAACGAAGCTTTTGGAAAGCCGACTACTCGTGTAAAAGAATCGTTGGCTGTCAATGAAACGGTTTGAATACCCTTAGAATGATCTGACTGCGTGCGACGGCTAAACAGTTTCTCTCAATACACTGTAAAAAAGCGTTGTCAAATAGCAAAAAAAATGAGCTGAACACTTCCTTTTGTTTCATCGTTGCGTTCCGTTGCGTTTCAGTTTCGTTGAACCG